GCTTTTTTTTTATATATATATTTTTATTTTTTTTATATTTATTATTGTTTTAAAAAATGTGGCATGAGAGACATAAGGATTTCCAAGACTTCTTGGATTCTGCAAATGTTCCCCATGCGCTTTTCCCAAAATATGAAGCATGGGGGACATAGGGAATTCCAAGACTTCTTGGATTCTGCAAATGTTCCCCATGCGCTTTTCCCAAAATATGAAGCATGGGGGACATAGGGAATTCCAAGACTTCTTGGACTCCACAATTGTTCCCCATGCCTTTGATTAAAATAACACCATGCTGAAAAACACGTGCAGCCTTCTTATTAAACGTGATCAACATAACCAGGTGTGTCATTTGCCTGCAACTATCATTGGTCCGCCAAATGACTCATTCACCCTTGAATAAATACAATATGTAGCACATAGGATGCCAAAAGATGGTCTATTATTTTCAGGTTGCTTGTCCTAGACGAACCCAACCCCTGTGTTGAGTCCCCTAAGTCAAATGCACATGATGCAAATAAACGTTCCTACTAGGGATCCGACATGTGGCTTTGTTATACTAGGTTCAGAACCTGGGTGTTTGTTCTAGACCTGGCTTACCCGAGCGGACAGCTCGAGTCGAGGGGGGGCAGCGTACCGGGAATACAGAAGCTTCACCGGCTTAGCAGCTTATCTGAACCTCGTTCTAAATTGGGATGTGACACTATACAGAAAAGAAGTCGTATGAAGTACACCCTTCTTCATGATTAAGAAGACTCAGAGAGAAGATGGGTTTCGGCACAGTTTATATACAGTTCACAAAATATCAAAGCGGTAAAAGCAGTTAGCACATTAAGCACAGATCATGTAACAAAATCAGATAAAGCAAAATATAACAATTTATTCTAAGCTCGATTTCTAACCCTGAACCAGTGGTTCTGATGTTATTCCCCAGCGGAGTCGCCAAAGCTGTCACACCTCCTTTTTCCGCCCCCGCGAGGGGCGTAGGGAGTTTTTCAATTAAAGGACAATCGAAACGGGATTCGTTTATTTATTTCAGAGTCGCCACTTGGGAGATTTATGGTGTCCCAAGTCACCAATTTTAATCCCGAATCGAGGAAAAGAATGACTCCATATTACAGTCCGCGAACCAGAAATCCGGATAAGGAATTCTGTTAACCCGGGAGAAGGTGTTAGGCATTCCCGAGTTCCGTGGTTCTAGCACGGTCGCTCAACTGTCATATTCGGCTTATTTATCTGATTTTAATACAATTATGAACCTGTGTGCCAATTTTAACTTTTACCGCTTTATTATTATTATTTTTAAAAGAATGTGAACATCGTTTAAAATACGTCTTTGGATTGCGTCACATGAAATGCACCCACAATCCGGAACACATTTTATTTGATGTTTTGGGATTTGGATTTGGGTCGCATGAAATGCACACCCGAGCTTAAGAAAGTAAACTATTAAACACGCACCTAAAGAGACTATCACGTTATTATTTTGGGAAGGCCGTAAAATTCGCTAAACGGCCCTCCCGAATTCTAATTAAACCATACATTTTTTGTGAGGGCCCCGCAATCTGTACGTTTTATTTGGCGAGGCTCGTCTCATTTTCATTTAAAAGGCAAACTTAAGGCAGCTACATTTTCCTACTTGGCTACGAAAAATCCAACCAATGGCACATTTCGATTTATAAAGAGTTGAAATTAATTAAGTGGAGGCCATGGGTTGAAGATTGAACTTATTTGATGAAAAGAGTATTTTTCGTAGGATTAAAATTACTACTATAATTTTAAAATTGCTGCTACACGTATACGCAACTATTAAGACAAACTAAAATAATTAACATCTTACAGAATATGTACAAACACCTATTGTGACAAATATTTGGATAACAACAATCTAAGCATGAAGAAACAAAATGCCGAATAACTACTTAAGTAACAAAACAAAGGAAAAGACATTCACAGCCAAATTTCAATACCATACGGAGTTAATTAACAAGAAATAGCAATTCACAAACATCGTATATATATGTCTCGCTTACTTGCATACTATCCGCATGAACTAGGATTGTATTTCAACAACCACATATACATATTACTAACAGCAAGTATGAAGGACACGGGCAGAGATGACCTACTTGTGATTAACGTCTGATGCGTTGGAACTGCGACGAAACCTCGGACAACAAACCTCGACGTACCGGACCTTGACGAACCAAAGACGACCTCAACGGACTGCGCGACGATAGTGAAGAAACAGCGGTAACTGGGCTGATTGGTTAGAGACTGGTGGTATTTGACGTCGGGCAACGGGTTTAAGCTTGTTGCTATGGCTGACTATGGTGTTCGCAGCTGTTCGTGGGTGATTGACAGTATGGGACGATGAGGCTGGGGGACTGTTTGGTCGACAGGTCTGGACGACGAGGGAGCAGCGGGGAGGCTGGTTGTGGTCGCCGGACGTGAGGAAGGTGATGGTGCAGCAGCGATGGTTGTTTTGGTGGAGCTGGAGTTCGCTGGCTNAACCCAAATATTATTCTTTTGCCCGGACCCGAGAATAAGAACACGATGTTGCTCAACTAATCCTATGTAAGCAAAATAACTACCAAAATAAGACTAATATTTAAAACAAAACTATATCTTTTTTTCCAGTATTTTTCAAGATTAAAATAGTTACAAAGCTTAAATAAAACTATTTTTGTAATTTTCGTTTTTCATATAAAGATAAAATATAAAGTAATATTTTTGTATTTTTTCAAAATTAAAATGACTACAAAACATTAATAGAACTATATTTTTTGGTAATTTTCGAAATTATATAATGTACAAAAATAAGGTACAATTTTGTATTTTTTTTCAAATTTATGAGAAATACATAAACTAAAATTTATATATATATTTTTTGTAATTTTTCTTTTGCGACGAAATAAAGTAAAATAGTCAAAATAACTATATTAGACCCAATTTAAATATTCACGCTAAAAAATGTGAAAATTCCCGGGGAGGGTCAAAAATCACATGTCTACAATCACCACCTCCTTCCCTTTCCAACGACAATCATTCTTCACCTGCTTCAGGTCGTTCTCAGTTATCGAGTATATGTATCTTGACATCGGCTCACATCGACCAGGGATCGACGAGGGTTTCTCGATCTTGAAATCGAAAGTGAGATCGCATGACCCGGGAACACACTCTTCGATGCGTGGCTACACCGGCGTTTTATCACCGTCCAGTCGTGATGAAGAGGCTTTTTCCTTTTAGGGAACGGTTTTAGATGTTTTCGCCATTTCTATGTAAGTCTAGGAAAAAAAGATGAAGTTTGTTGTTTTAAGAGAGGATTGGCAAACGGGATGTAAATAATTTGCAGAATTGAGGAACTTGAAGGAAGTAATGACGGATCAAAGGCATTAGTGGCCGACCATCAACTGGCACTAATTAATGATCTTGAGAACTGTGCAGACGTGACGCTTCAATCGCCTCCGTCGCTTACGTCACGAGGATGACATCATAATTGGTCGAGGTATAAAATCGAAGGCTAAGTTCGTTTCTTCTCATTACACTCCAAGAAACGATGGGACTATCTGTATACTGGTAAAATCGGGCTTGCTCGATTTTGTCATTATTTCGAGACTAGGGAACTACGTCGAGGGTCAGCCTCGTAATGGATCAGCCCAAAACACAAAGACAATGTACTGAGTTCGGGAATCGAGTACCCGACGATCGGGACTAGATATGATCGCCTTCGAGTGGAACACAATAACAGAAAGGCGAAATATCTGTAACCGGTCAGAGATCACGGCGGAAATCTCGAAATGGATCAAATCAAGGGCGGTTATTTGTGTCAATCATGAGATTTATTTCTGTAATTATAATTGTACCATAATTAGGATTCCTCTATTATATAAAGGGGGTCTCCATCATTTGTAAACAGTACCTTCATGAATATCAAGGCAATATAATATTTCTTTCTTCTGCTCATCAACTTATTACTCTTTAACTGTTCTTACTTCACTACTCTCGAGGGTTCATAAGCTCGAGGGCATTGTCCAAGCATTGTTTTGTTTTACATTCTTGTCAATTCCCATCATTTATCTCTAAGTTAATCAGTTGGTATTAAGTGAAATCACGTATCCTTAAAATCACATTACAACTTTAATTGTTACTCGATTTTTAGGGTAAATAATTATACATTAGCCGACTATTTTTAATCTAAGTGGTGAGTACGCGACTATATATCTTAATTCTTCTAAAACTAAATTACTAACTAGTTTAATAATTATAAATTCATTTGAGTTAACGTGTTCTAATTGCAAAATATTTCCTCTTCTACATTTCTTTTTCCCATTTCGTCCAAAAGCAAAAAAAGCCAAAAAATAAAAGAAAAAAGAAGAAGGAGAAGAAGAGAAATGAAAAAATGGACTCAAAATTGGGGTATATGTTATAAAATAAAGATCGTAAAGTAAAGACAAGTACAAAGAGAAACTGATATATTATTCGAATTCAAACTGATGTACATAATGAACTGAAATCTCTTCTATTTATAGAAGAAAGGAAGCTGTTGTGTAAGCTGTTACTGCAAGTTGTTGTGTAAGTTGTTACTGCAAGCTGCTGTGTAAGTTGCTATTATAACATATATGGATAATCTTCTACTGAGAGCAATGTTTATCTTTAATGGAGTACTGAATGGATAAGCTCATTGTACCCAGTATAAATAATCTTCTACTAGGGGTAATGATTATCCATAACGGAGTACTGAAAAGATAAGCTCATTGTACCCGGTATGGATAATCTTCTACCGGGGTAATGTTTATCCATAACCGGGTACCAAAGTGATAAGCTTCTTCAATAAGCTTATTTCCAATAGAGTACTAAATAGATAAACATATTTACGCTAGAGTTCCGTATGAATAAGCTTCTTCGGGAAGCTAAACTTAATAAACATCCATAATATAATATATTTATAACATTATATATATTTTCTATAACACCGGTTTTGCGTCTATATGCATATCAAGAGAATATTTTTTCTCTCATCTAGAATTTGAGCTCTAATCTATTACTCATTTCGTCACTAAAACAAACCTTTTAATAACTAAACAAAAGGTTTTAAATCCCAATTTGAAGTTCTTTCCTAGGGTTTCTTTTCTTCAATACCCGACACAAGTGTTATAATGAAGCGTTTCTTGAAACATTTCAGTGTAAGTGATCTGTAATAGCAACTTTTTCAAAGTTCTCATTTTTTTTTTTAAAACCCAGAAATTGATAGTTTGGTCTAATTTTTTTATGTTTTGCAGATCGGCGGGGTGAGGGAATTTTCTATGCAAAATGCAAGAAATCCCAATACCCCAAAAAGCCTAAAGATTGAAGGGATTAAAGATATAATAGCAATTGCTTCTGGTAAAGGTGGAGTTGGCAAGTCAACTACCTCTGGTACTACTACTACTCTTTTCTCTGTTTGGTTTTCTAAAATGTAGAATAGTTTAATTGGGATTAAGTTGTAGTTGATTGATTGATAAATTAGTTGAATTATGCCTTCCTTTTCTTTTTTTGGCTGGTAGTATACTTAGTATTGTGATGCCAAAAGTTCAGGAGTTGCTAATTGAACTAGAGAACATGACCAATTCAGCTCAGGAAGCTTAAACTTTGAAATATTGAACTGAAATTTGGAAGATAAAGAAAGAGGAAAAAGAAGTAATGACCTAAACTTTATTTTTTTCGGTAACATTGGTGTCCAGGCATCGGAAATAACCTCTCTATTGTCTAGGTAGGGGTAAGGTTTGCGTACATACTACCCTCCCCAGACCCCACTTGTTAGATTATACTGGGTTTTTTGTTGTTGTTGTTGGTAGTGTTCGGGCAGCTTGCACGCACCTCTAACAAATTAAGCTAATTGAAAATAAAAAACTAGATTTTTGCGTATCATATTGCATTCGAACTAGATGCTTGAGATATTTGGTGGTGGAAGAGTAGAATCACTCTTTTCTTCCTATGGTTATTGATACTCAATTTACTAGGTGTATAGTGATTTTGTGCATTATATAAAGTTCCAGATATACAATGTACCGTGAATTTGGATTAGTATATTTATCTTTGGGTGATGATTTTAATTTGCTTCCCAGCAATTTGTTTGCTCACCAATGACAATGTTTGGTTCGCAGTTAATTTGGCTGTTTCACTTGCCAAAAAGTTTCAACTTAAAGTTGGGTTGCTGGACGCGGATATATATGGGCCTTCAATTCCTTTGATGATGAGACTCCAGGGAAAGCCGGAACTGAGCAATGGTGATGCTTTAAGTACCTTAATATTTTTAACCACTGAGCAGTTCTTCAGCTTATTTTAGTATCAACATGCACTATCCTCTAAGATAGTGGTGTTATTATGGCTATATTTTTTGTACTTTTTTCGACTCTTGCTTGCTTATCATGTTATTTGGGCAGATAGGAAGATGATTCCAATTGAAAGCTATGGAGTTAAGTGTATATCGATTGGATCTCTTGTAGACGAAAGGGAAGCAATTGTGTGGAGAGGGCCTATGGTATGCTTCTGCCTACAAAATAATGACTAATATAAGGATGTAGCACATTTACGGTTAAAGAGAACTAAGATTTTAATGCTTGATGAGACATTCTGAGGAGGTAGAATTCAATCATCTAAATCCATTTAGACCCAAATGTAAACTTGCAGGTAATGAAAGCCCTTGAACAGTTGACAAGGGGAGTTGATTGGGGTATCCTAGATATTCTTGTGATAGATATGCCTCCTGGTACGGGTGATACACAGATATCTATTTCCCAGAGGCTACAATTATCAGGTATCTCAAGATTGTTTGGAAGTACTTACTTTTAAAAGAATTTGGACTATGGAAATATGCCATGAATGAAGCCATTGCATCATGTTTAATTTCATGTCAAAAAGCCCAAAACATAAACTTACTGCGTACTCATGAAAAGAAAAACGAAGATATCCATATTTTCAGGCACACAAGTAAATATCATTCATTATGTTAAATGACTGATGGTCTAATCAGAACGCCGCTGCTATTTCACAACCACTTAGATTCCAAATGTTGAGTCTGGCAATTGAGGATTTGCATCTCGGGTTGGGCTTTCGATGATTGAGTGAAATTTAGGCTCGTATAATGCATTATCATATGGGTTCTAATAAGATTGAGTTTAACAATTTATACGACGAAGGTAAATTTACGATTTACTTCTCTTCTATTTTCTTGTTTAAATTCCAGCTGCATATATCATCCTTTCTATATTGTTTCGTGTTCTGTTTGAAAGTTAGCATCAATAATCGTCCAATTTGAGAATATTACTAGAAGCATGAACCTATAATTTAAAATATTCAGTTGTCTATTCTTAGACACCCGTTCTCTCCGGACAATATTTGCTTAAAATCTCAAGTCATTATAGGATAACAGCACTGTGTTCTCGAATTACTTCTGTTCTCAGACATTGCCTCTCCAGGATTAATTCATGCTGAGAATTTATGTAATACTATTTTTCTGCACTATATTATTCTAAGCACTTGACTATGCTGGCAGGAGGGTTGATTGTTTCGACTCCTCAAGATGTTGCTTTACTGGATGCTCGCAGAGGGGTAAAAATGTTCTCCAAAGTTAATGTTCCGGTATGATCTTTACTGAGCTTGTTGTTTATGAGCCTATGTCTTACTAGAAGTACTACCTTTTTTAGAGGTCTGAGTTTAACATTATATACTTCCCCATACAAAAAAAAAGAAAAGGAGAGGGTAGGAATGTAGTATTAAAAGATGGGACTGTGAAGCATGATTTGTGACTCTCTTTGGTCACAAGTTGTGCAGTATAAATATGAACCACCTCATGAAATTTAATACAGTGTGTGCATTATTAGATATATCCGTCATAAATAGTGAGTTAGTGATTGAATAGCCATCAACCCAATAATGCAAAAAACAACGAACATTTCAACTTGGAAATTATTTTCTTAATTTGTAAAATCACTACCTTTGTGTTTGATATTTAGGATCTACTGGCATATATACTATTAGTGCTTTGCACTCCTCTTCATCTTGGTGATGACGAATCTATTCATAGAGATTTAAAAAAATGTTACCTTTATCTAGTTGATGAATGACTCCCTCTAGATCAGATGAATGTTCAATCCCCTTTCTGCGCATGCATACAGACATATGTAGACTGGAATTTGTTAAGACTGCAGAGATTTACAATTTTCATCTGTTTGGAGCTCCACCTTCGCCGTGGTCAAAGAGAACACTTAAGTGAATTTTGTCGTATGTCAAGACTGATACTATGAACCTAACACCCCTTCCACACAATGGGGAAAAAGTGGATAACAGAAAGGAATCTAATAGAAAACCGAGCACGATCATTTACGATGTTGATAATCTGTTAGACTAGCATTAGTAGTTGAAGCTGGATTCAGAAATTCCATTTCCTTAATTGTTGTTACCAACCTGACATAGCAATACAAAGGTATCAGAATACTGGACACTGAGATATGCAGAAGCATACTATAGCTTAGTTCTTCTATGATATAGTTATAATTGAACAGTTTTACTTACCACAGATATTGGGAATTTTGGAGAATATGAGCTACTTTAAGTGCCCAAAATGCAATGAAGCATCGTATATCTTTGGTCAAGGAGGAGCTCGTAAAACAGCTGAGGAGATGGGTCTGAAATTTCTTGGTGAGGTANCCAAAAAGAAAAAAACCCCAAATTCTTTTCCACGTCTCTGTTTGAATTATGCCTAAAAAAACATGTTGTAGGCACGTCTGGAAAAAAATCAATGAACCGGTCCTTAATAATAGTCCTATTAATCTCCTCTGCTTCTTCTATGTTCCCTCTTTTGTGGCTATTTCTTTCCTGTTGACACAATCTTTATTCATTTTATTGAGATACAACTAAATAGCTGACACCTTTTTCCCTACTTCAATTTTTTTATATATATGTTGTTTCAATGTGTGCGCTTTTCCCTTGTAGATACCACTTGAGGTAGAGATCAGAAGTGGTTCGGATGAAGGCGTTCCCATTGTTATGTCAAAGCCTGATTCTGTAATCACTCAAGTATATGGCGAGGTGGCTGAAAAAGTTGTCATACGGCTTGAAGAGGTAGATAAGGAGCAAAATTTCAGGCCAGATTTATCTCTTTAAATGCGTTGATCAAGCTACCGGCCAAGTTGAGCGTAACAGTAATCATTAGAATCTGCCCCCTTCTAACAAAATCAGAGGAAATTCCAGTTGGCTCCAGATATAGAGCAAGAGGGAAAGCACATTTAAGGCTAAGAAGGGTTCAAGGGAGTTCATTGTTGAGAAAAGTGGTAATCATGTCTTGCTCGCTGGTGATCTTATGGACTATTTTCTGGCCAAATAGCAGAATTGTCACTCAGACAATTAACACTAACTGAAAGTCGCCAGGAATGACGATGTATCCCTTTTGAGAGTTGAACCCATCTATACAACATGAAAAGATGATGTTTACAGGTGATGAATATAACTGTTAATCGCGATGTTATTAGCCATTGTCATCATTCTGGGGAGAAAAAGAGAAGATTAGAGATTTTTCCATAATTTGGATTTTTCAGCTTTTATTTTCCCATATTGGATGTGCTCGTATTTGTTAGTTGGAATGGATGGTTCAATTCTGTGTTGGTTTTAGTGTGGGGAATTTCATTCCTTCTTTTTAGTCAAACGATTAGAGTGCATCATATTATGATGACTTAAAAGTTGATTTATCAAGATGTGATGAATAATTCACATTTGGATAATAACAATATATACTTGTTAACTAAATTGGGATATTAGACATTGTTATTTTTCAAGAAGAAATAATTTAAAATATTTTTCCCATATAAATTATAACTTTAATTTGTTTCCCATATAACAATGTTAAATTAATTTGTTGCACTTCAGGTGGCTTCTCTTCAGTGGTGGGTTGTTTTCAACTGGTTGAAGATGCAGTGAACAATGCAGGTTTAGTAAAGGATGCACTTCATACCTAGGCTTATGGAAGAAGAAAAAGAAAACATAACTTTGGGCATTTGAGAAGCAGACCATAATGCTTAGGTAGTTTTTGGCACATCCATGATGTTCATGTTTATATAAAGGATTGGTAAATGGTAAGGAATCATATGACTAGGCATTCATGTTTATTTTGGTATATATATATTCGGATAAGCATCCTTGGTAATTTTGACTCTTTAAATCTTAAAGACGTTAAGCTTTTGCGTCATTCAAGAAACAAGTGATCATTTACCACCTTTCTTGTCAAAACCGAGCATAGAGCGAGCACACAAGCAAAACCAAACAGCATTTTAGAATCAAGATATACTTTCAGCATTTACCGATTCTCTCATTAGGAGCCTGTATAATCTAACTTGCAAACCACAAAGTAATTGCCAGAGAAGCACCTAGCAATTAGTTTTTGAATTTAATTTCCTAGTTTAATTGGTCAAACAGTATGCCGCCAAATTAACAAGTGTTATAGCAATATTGAGCGTGCAGAAGACCAGAAGTTAAACAGGACAAACAGATTACTAGAAGGCAAACCAGCAATTCACTTCTCAACAACTAGACTAGAAATCATGATACAGCTAACTAAAGCCATAATTTCCCAGTAGCTGAAGACTCGTACTTCTTGTGGTACCAGGCGTGACTTGTTTGAGCTGGATATATCCTTTAATAACCGTAGCTGCCTCCATAAACAGAACCATAATCTGCAGCTGGAGCCTGGCCAGCATGACCAGTGGCACTAGACTGTGAAGGGTACACAGGAACCTGAGAAGGATAAGGATTATAACCTTGGGAAGGTGGTCCAGCAGCAGCATTCTGCATTGAGTTGGTAGCGTCGGCGATGGAATTCTGCACCATAGACAGTAAGGGTCGTCAGACATCACAGTATAACCACAGCATTTCAATGATAATTTAGCCTTGTCTCCTTAATTGTTTTCATAACTTGATAGTGCATTGCAAACAAGATCCCACTCTCCTTAGACCACAAACAGAATATTATAGTGAAAGCCACATTCCCACTAATTACAGCTGAATCTCATTAATCGGTGGACAATAATATCAAAATAAATACGTTGAATTATTTAACTGCGCTCGGAGTCCACATTGAACAGTGTGTTATGAATTGGCCGAACATTTTAGGCAGGAATATTTAACTAAATAATGTTCATAAAAAAATATGAGGAAAGTTGTTGTTTGTTATATCCTGTTTCATTTTTTTTTATTTTTTTTTTTGAGAACGGAAGCATGAAATTGTTTAATACTAGAGAAGTGGAAATAGGGAAGGGTACACCAACTATATCAGTCCACTTATGACTTATCACATGCCTCCATGAAGGAAAACAGAATTCATGTGGCATAAGCAAACCTCTTTTTTGCAAGGGCTTTGGGTCTAGTGGTAAGAGCATGACGTGTGATGTGTGGGTTAAGCGCGTGTCACAGGTTATCATGTCGTAGACACAAAGGCCTGATAAAGTGGAGAATGGTAAAGGGCCGAGCGCATTATCCACTGAGTTTCCAATATTGTGCCACTTAGCATCCGGGATTTCTTGGTTATTAACCCAAAAGCAAAAAAAGAAAAAGAAAAAAAAGCAAACGCATAGAGACGCAAAATTCCAGTGTAGATACATCTAAGTTATATATCAAGGAGCAAACTGCACTCGATGGTATTTGCACTAATCAACCACATCAAACATGCCAGCTTAGCCATGCCAAGAAGGAACTTTCTATCTTACAGAGGAATACATATCAGTGTACCGGTGTTAAATCAACAATTTTCTTCAAATGAACACATCGAGAGCATATCTACATCTGTAGCATAAAGCCAGAAATCGCCGTACTACTAGACTAAATGAAAGAGCAAGCAGAAATGCAGTAACCAATTCGTTAATCACTACCACACATGCACATAGAATCACAATAACATTGACTAATTCTAAATGTCAATTGAAGCTCAATAATAAAAATGATCAGAAAATAATACCTGAATTAATTGCTGTGCTGTTTGGACTTGTGATGCAGAACCATTTATCTCAACAGTCATCTCACCAGGAACACCCCTTGTTTCCTGCACTGCAATAGTTGCACCACTTGTCCGACGAATATAACTAATATTGGAACCAGAAGCCCCAATAACGGCATCAGCATATGATAAAGGAATTTGGATGTTTTGTGTGACCTTTATGGAGAAAAGGTTTAGAAAACAAGGAGAAGAAGTAGAAATTCGTTATTGGAAGAATGTCCAAAATGAACCAAAAGAAACACAAATCTTTATAATCAACAAAAGATATTACTAACGGGTGCCAGATTCTAATCACATGCAACATATCTGAGCACATGTACATGCTAATCTTCTGTAGCATATTTTGTGCAATTCAATATCAGCGCCAGAATCCTCCTTCCCTATTGTACTGAGTTCATACGATTTGTCAATTAGATTTTTCTATTCAACAGATTAAAGGAGGAGAAAGTGCACCTTTGAAACTATGGATTGTTGTGGTTGCACATTTGCATGAGATCCCACTGAAGCATCTCTGCCGTAAACAGGGGGGCCGGGATGAGGTTGCATATCTAGAGGCCTGTCCACTCGTGGAAAATAATTGTCAAATTGCCGTGGAGGCGGCATATACTGGGGGTTGGCTCCAAATCCAGGTCCCCCAGCACTCATGGGAAAACTGGATGGAGGTGGACCCCAAGGTTCAGTAGGCCCAGGCGGGGGCATATTCTGGTGTGCACGAGCATTTGGCATTTGCATCTGAGCAGAAAAAATATGAAATGATTCTCTAATGAAATGTCGCATAAGATCCTAAATTCTTTAAAACCAATGGTATACTTACAAGTTTCTCAAATACTCCAATTACACTGCGATCAACTAAAAATTTCCTCAGATGAGTTGCAATCATTTCAACTGCTTTATGCACGCCTGCTGGCTCCCCTTGTATCTCAACGATACTATCATCAGGCAGGGCAAAAATGGGGAGATGCTCTGAACAAAAGATGTAATCAAACACCAAATTAAAATTCCAAGAGGACAAAATGGATTGCAGAGATCAAAATAAAGACAATAAGAATTTCAAAAAAGCACACGACTCACGTTACCATTTTCAAGTCACAAAGCAGCAAAATATTCAGCTTGTGAGCTTTTGGAAAGTCCAAAGTGGGTCTTTCATAGATTGTTAAATGTTTCAAAAAAAATCATAACTTGAAAAGGAAACTAAACCAAGTGAGGACCCCGAATTAATTAGTTACACTTCCTTCCAGAGTGCTTGCTTTACTTGAGAGATAATACAATATATCTAGAGGGAGATACACACACTGTCTTTTCCTTTTTTGGAAGGGGCAAACATGGAGAAGAATTTCGATATCTAAAAGTTTCCGTTCTTATTTGGGTGATCTGGGATGGAGGGGGTGTCCTACTACAGAGAGTTACAATATGATGACTGGTTTTCAAGATACAAATGGGTGGATTATTTTGAATTGAGTTAATACCCTAAAACCCCCCTAAACTATCATGTTTTTGTCAGTTTCATGCTTAAACTATCATGTGTCCCCAAAAACTCCCTAAAGTATATTCTCCTTCATATTAAAACATCCTCGTTATATTTCTGATTTTGTGTGTGTTACACGCTCCAAATTATCAAAAACATTTGCCATGTGGCAATCCACGTGTGGGGCTAATTAGCTTAATCTAAAAATTGACTTAATTAGTTATTTTAAATAATAATAAAGTATTATTAGAGGGATAAATATTCACCCAATTAGAAACAAAAAATGAGGGGTAGGATAAAATTACTTCCGTCAATTCTCCTTTTCTCTCCTCTCTTCCGACGATGGATACTACACCTCTCAGTAGCGATTTTCTCCATTAAGCTTCGTTGTAACCTTGATTCCCCCCCCCCCCCCCAAAATAACCCTTGATTGTTCAGTCTTATTTTGTTTTTGTTCAAGATTGGGGATTAAATACTAGGGTTTGCTGAAAAATGTAGGGTTTATTTGAGTTCTGACGGAGTGAAGATTATTGGTAAAACTTCGAGTTGATTTGAAGAAGATAGCTATGCACATGTACTAATTCTTTAAAACCTAACTTCTTTGTTGCAAAATTATTGCATGAATTTGTTGGGCAACTTCAAGTCAATTTTACCAAAAAAAAATTAGATCTTTTTTTGTGAGTTGTTGAATGAGTGTTTCTTTTTTCAAATAAATCTGGGTAATAAATGAAAGAAGAATAAAATGCGAAAGATAAAAAATAGATCCAGAAATAACGAGAGGGAGAATTTTAGATGGCACCGGATGGAGAAATGAAGAAGAAAGGAGAAAAAAATGGAGGAAAATGGTGAAAAAAAGAGGAAGAAAGTGAATAAATGAGGAATAAATGCTTAATTAGCCATTACATGCTGTCAGATGGGGACCTTTTGATAGATCTTTCAGTCATCACGCGCAAATTAACAAGTTATTACACACGGTTTGCCAGAAATATAACGAGCGCGTTTCAATATGAAGGAAAATATAGTTTATGGGGGGTTTTGGGACACCAAATAGTTTAAGCAGGAAACTAACAAAAACGTGATAGTTTAGGGGGGTTTAGGGTATTAACTCTTTTGAATTAGTGATGGATTTATATGCTGAATGACCATAGCGGCATTTTTTTATAAGTATGACCATACCGGCAATTGAAAAAGAGAACTGCCAGGAAAGTCAGTAAAAGCCCTATAGATCATCAAATTTGAGTACATGTAGCCCCAGATCATCAAATTTGAGTACATGTAGCCCCCCGTAAACTTCAACTTAGCAAATTAATAAAGATGTAAAACTGTTCAAGTATATACCCTGCCACCGCATATCAAAACACCTATACTTTGCATCAGAGATATTGTCAAACTTTATATCTTCTGTGCTGGACATCCCAATCCAGAATCATAATCTTCCGTATCAGAGCTCATCCACATTTAAAGAACTGATAAATCAATATGCCTTCCATTATGATCTCCAACAAAGTATATTTTAGCATCGGATAAAGTCACTCAACGATAGTAGATTAAAAGGCCAAACATTAGCAAATACTAACTAAAGCCCTTTGATCCACTGTACCCACCAGCTCTACATTTTAAAATAGATTCAAACTTCAAAGTATCATATAACAAAGGTAGTGGGCGCAAGAATTTCTATGAAGTCCTCCTAGGG